CCCTCCAGGAACCGGGGTTGAAGCTCGGTTCCTTAGGACCCGGTTCCTTAGGACCCGGTCCAGACTGGAGTCCCGGCCTCGGAGGTCTTCTCCTCCTTCAGTCAACATTTTGTCTTTGTTTCTACAGTAAACATCAGTCGTCGCCATGGCAGCTGAGAAAGCTGAGATCGATGCTCTGAAGAAGGAGTGTGACGGCCTTCGCACAAAGATTGAGGTGAGCGCCTCCTAGTGGACACACTGGTCTGTCCCACGTTCAAACAGGTGTAGACAACAGTCAGTAAATCTCCAGCCCACAAGTTCCACATCTAACGGCAGTTCCTGCGTCTTCCACCAGGCGGCTCGTAAGGCTGTGAATGATGGCAGCATGTCTGATGCTGCGGGGGGCGTGGCCTCAGTAGGGCGGGTCCAGCTGAAACTCAGGAAGACACTCAAAGGTCACCTGGCCAAAATCTACGCCATGCATTGGTCAGCTGACTCCAGGTCAGTCCGCGCCGTGAGGCTGGAACTTTATTTAGGTGTACAAAGTACCAATCGGTACCAGAGGTTGAGCCACACACACACTCACCATCATTCTGTCTCGTTGAAACAAGAACCACCATTTGAACCAAGATCATCATGTTTACAGACGACCACTGACTGTCTGTTGTTTCTGGTTGTTGTTTGGTCCGCTCTGTGTCCGCTCTGTGTCCTGTCTGTGTCCGCTCTGTGTCCTGTCTGTGTCCGCTCTGTGTCTCAGACAAATGGTGAGCGCTTCACAGGACGGAAAACTGCTGGTCTGTGTCCGCTCTGTGTCCGGTCTGTGTCCGGTCTGTGTCCGCTCTGTGTCCGGTCTGTGTCCGGTCTGTGTCCGGTCTGTGTCCGGTCTGTGCCCGGTCTGTGTCCGCTCTGTGTCCTGTCTGTGTCCGCTCTGTGTCCGCTCTGTGTCCGGTCTGTGTCCGGTCTGTGTCTCAGACAAATGGTGAGCGCTTCACAGGACGGAAAACTGCTGGTCTGTGTCCGCTCTGTGTCTCAGACAAATGGTGAGCGCTTCACAGGACGGAAAACTGCTGGTCTGTGTCCGCTCTGTGTCTGGTCTGTGTCCGGTCTGTGCCCGGTCTGTGTCCGCTCTGTGTCTGGTCTGTGTCCGGTCTGTGTCTCAGACAAATGGTGAGCGCTTCACAGGACGGAAAACTGCTGGTCTGTGTCCGCTCTGTGTCCGGTCTGTGTCTCAGACAAATGGTGAGCGCTTCACAGGACGGAAAACTGCTGGTCTGTGTCCGCTCTGTGTCTCAGACAAATGGTGAGCGCTTCACAGGACGGAAAACTGCTGGTCTGTGTCCGCTCTGTGTCTGGTCTGTGTCCGGTCTGTGTCTCAGACAAATGGTGAGCGCTTCACAGGACGGAAAACTGCTGGTCTGTGTCCGCTCTGTGTCTGGTCTGTGTCCGGTCTGTGTCCGGTCTGTGCCCGGTCTGTGTCCGCTCTGTGTCCTGTCTGTGTCCGCTCTGTGTCCGGTCTGTGTCTCAGACAAAATGGTGAGCGCTTCACAGGACGGAAAACTGCTGGTCTGGGACACCTTCTCAGGGAACAAGGTGACAAACACTGCCCCCTGTGTTTGTTTTTTACACTTCTGTACAGATATTTTACAGGCTAAAAATCTGAGGACAATAATGTGTGAAAATCCCTTTCTTGTCCAGCTGGTGGCAGTCCCGCTGAAGTCCGCCTGGGTCATGAGTGTAGCCTTCGCCCCCTCTGGAAACCTGGTGGCCAGTGGTGGTCTGGACAACCTCTGCACCGTCTACAACATCAAGTCCACCAGCCCCAAGACCCTGAGAGAGCTGGACGCCCACACAGGTGAGCAGTGGACCAGACCACCGGACCAAAGACTGGACCAAAGACCGGACCAGACCACTGGACCAAAGACCGGACCAAAGACTGGACCAAAGACTGGACCAAAGACCGGACCAGACCACCGGACCAAAGACTGGACCAAAGACTGGACAAAAGACTGGACCAAAGACTGGACCAAAGACTAGACCAGACCACTGGACCAGAGACTGGACCAAAGACTAGACCAAAGACTGGACCAAAGACTAGACCAGACCACTGGACCAGAGACTGGACCAAAGACTGGACCAAAGACTAGACCAGACCACTGGACCAGAGACTGGACCAAAGACTGGACCAAAGACCGGACCAAAGACTGGACCAGAGACTGGACCAAAGACTGGACCAAAGACTGGACCAAAGACCGGACCAGACCACCGGACCAAAGACTGGACCAAAGACCGGACCAAAGACTGGACCAAAGACCGGACCAGACCACCGGACCAAAGACTGGACCAAAGACCGGACCAAAGACTGGACCAAAGACCGGACCAGACCACTGGACCAAAGACCGGACCAAAGACTGGACCAAAGACTGGACCAAAGACCGGACCAAAGACTGGACCAGAGACTGGACCAGAGACTGGACCAGAGACTGGACCAGAGACTGGACCAGAGACTGGACCAAAGACTAGACCAAAGACTGGACCAAAGACTAGACCAGACCACTGGACCAGAGACTGGACCAAAGACTAGACCAAAGACTGGACCAAAGACTAGACCAGACCACTGGACCAGAGACTGGACCAAAGACTGGACCAAAGACCGGACCAAAGACTGGACCAAAGACTGGGCCAAAGACTGGACCAGAGACTGGACCAGAGACTGGACCAGAGACTGGACCAAAGACTAGACCAAAGACTGGACCAAAGACTAGACCAGACCACTGGACCAGAGACTGACCTGTGCTGTGTCCCCGTCTCTGTCCTCGCCCCAGGTTATTTGTCCTGCTGCCGTTTCCTCAGCGACACAGAGATCCTGACTGCCTCTGGCGACACCACCTGGTGAGTCTACGTCATGGTTTCAACCTGAATTTACAGAGTGGAATACGGCTCTGTTCCATGTAGTTCATATGCCTGGCCTGAATGTGGCGCTGTCCACCACACTCTAACATGTTAACTAGGGATGCTCCGAATATTCGGCCACTGAAAGACTTTTATCACCAAAACAACGTAGTCTGATCGTAGACTGATCGTAGTCTGATCGTAGACTGATCGTAGTCTGATTGTAATCTGATCGTAGTCTGAGCGTAGTCTGGTCGTAGCAGTTTAAACATCTGTCCTGGTTTTGACCCTCCCCCCCCCCCCCCACAGCTGCCTGTGGCAGCTGCCTGTGGGACCTGGAGACCGGGAAGCAGAAGGTGGTCTTCACCAACCACATCGGGGACTGCATGTCTCTGGGTCTGTCCCCGGACATGTCCACCTTCATCTCTGGAGCCTGTGACTCTCTGGCCAAACTGTGGGACATGAGGGACGGACAGTGCAAGCAGACGTTCAGTGGACACACCAGTGACATCAACGCCATCAGCGTAAGTGAAAGACATACAGCTGTCCACAGGGGGCAGCAGTGGAGCTCAAGTTCAGGGACTTGGACTTTGGTGTGGAAAGTGAAATATTTCAGTAAAAAGACCATCATGCCNTGACTCCGCTCCTGTCTCCTCTGCTCAGTTTTTCCCATCAGGCAATGCCATCGTCACAGGTTCCGACGACTGCACCTGTAAGATGTACGACCTGCGTTCGGACCAGGAAGTGATCGGATACCAGGACTCCGGTCTGAACGCCGGCGTCACATCGCTGACTCTGTCCAACTCTGGACGTCTCATCTTTGCCGGTTACGACGACTTCAACTGTCACATTTGGGACTCGCTGAAGGGGGAGAAAGTAGGTGAGTGGAGCAGAGCGCCACCTGCAGGCCTGCAGAAGGTATGATGACGGTTATAGAGGTAGTTTAACCAAAACATCTGCCCCCCCCAGGTGTTCTCTCCGGCCATGACAACAGGGTGAGCTGCACTGGCGTTCCTGAGGACGGGATGGGGGTCTGCACAGGGTCCTGGGACAGTTTCCTCAAACTGTGGAACTGAGGCCTCCCCAAACAGGAGGAAGGAGCACGAGGGTGAGGAGCAGGAGGAGAACGGGGGGAGCTTCCTCCTCCTCCTCCTCCTCCTCCTCCTCCTCCTCCTGATCCCTGAGAGGCTGCGGAGGAGTCTCGACCTTTGACCCCGAGGAGGGGCAGGTTTTAACTGTGTGTAAATGAAAGCGTTGTGTTGAAGAATCCAGCCAGAACCAGTTTAGACCAGAGAACACAGCAGTGATCAGAGGGTAGCGTTTACTTTGAAGTCTTTGAAGTCTTTGTACCTTTGAACTAGAGCTCGGAGTCAGGTGTCCGTTCGTCGACATGCTAGTTGAAGCGTTAGCAGCGACAGTCGATGTCCGGTTGTGTCTTTTTTTTTTCAGCCGCTCACATCCACACCAGAATTGCACATTAACGGTCGGACGGCGGCCATTTTGCTTCGTCCGTAAACCAAAACAACCACCTGCGGTTCTTTTTGTTCTTGGATCCAACATGGCCGCCGCTGTTTTTAGGTGTGAGAAGCTGCCGTCTGTCCTTCACTTCACGTCTGTCTCTCTGTAAAAAAGACTTTGTTAAAAATCTTTATAATAAAGCTAGACTTCTGCATTAACTCTCTGGCGCCACCTGTCTGTTTGTTGATAGTCATCATGAAAGACTTTACACTTTAGCATCAACTTAACTTACCTAATGAGCTAACCGCTACACAGCTCCTGATGACGGTGCTGTTTTAGCCTACGTAGCGCACACACACACACACACACACACACACACACCTAAAACGTACGACCAGGTTTGAGTTGTAAATTCTGTCAAATTTTATTTCACATTTTTTTCAACCAAAATCTATTGTTGTGGTTGTTGTTGTTGTTGTTGTTGTTGTTGTTGTTGTCGTTCTGGTCCACACAGGTGGGTCTCATGTTTGCTGTTGAACAAATCTATGCTGTGTGGGCTGCACAGAAAGTGGGCTGCACAGAAAGTGGGCTGCACAGAAAGTGGGCTGCACAGAAAGTGGGCTGCATACTGGGACAGTAGTCTCTGTAAATAACTGTAACTGCATGAAACTGTGACGTGTAAACAGACTGTGTGTGTGTGTGTGTGTGTGTGTGTGTCAATCATAATCTGGATTATTCATCAGATTATTCTGTTCTTCTCTACAGTAACAGTTCATGTCTGGCTTCGTTAGTGTTTTTGTCTCCAGCTGTTGCATCAGCCGCCTGTGTGCACGTGTGTGTGCACGTGTGTGTGTGAATTATTTGTACATGGCTCATTCCTTGTGTGTACACGTAAGGGGGGGGGGTGCACATGCATGTTTCTCTGTTTTCACAGTGCGCTGGGGTTTCTGAAGTTATGGCCCGCAAACCGAGCCAGATCCCCCAGCTCCTCCTCGATCCTGGAAACAGAAAAAAGGACAAACAAGTTACTGACCTCAGTGTAAACAGTGGAGAAAATCAGAGATTTTAGTTCAGACCAAAGTCCATGGAGAAAATCAGAGATTTTAGTTCAGACCAAAGTCAGTGGAGAAAATCAGAGATTTTAGTTCAGACCAAAGTCCATGGAGAAAATCAGAGATTTTAGTTCAGACCAAAGTCCATGGAGAAAATCAGAGATTTTAGTTCAGACCAAAGTCCATGGAGAAAATCAGAGATTTTAGTTCAGACCAAAGTCCATGGAGAAAATCAGAGATTTTAGTTCAGACCAAAGTCCATGGAGAAAATCAGAGATTTTAGTTCAGACCAAAGTCCATGGAGAAAATCAGAGATTTTAGTTCAGACCAAAGTCCATGGAGAAAATCAGAGATTTTAGTTCAGACCAAAGTCCATGGAGAAAATCAGAGATTTTAGTTCAGACCAAAGTCAGTGGAGAAAATCAGTGATTTTAGTTCAGAACAAAGTCAGTGGAGAAAATCAGAGATTTTAGTTCAGAACAAAGTCAGTGGATCACCTCCTATGACTCTGAACACTAAAATCACAGATCACAGAGCTCGAGTGAGTTTATGTTCGTCATCAGTCTGGGTTTAATGGGAACATGGCAACATTTATGATTGTTGTTCTGATTCTGAAGCTGACAGTTGTATCTTCTGCTGTTCATCAGTTCTTGTGTTAGTTGTCACATCAACAAACAGAAAAAGCCGGAAGTGAAAATCAGTCAGTGAACCTTCAGTTCTAGGAGAGGTCCAGAGGTCTTCTGAAGAAGATCTGTCAGGGATCTGGAGGAGACGCAGGGCCACGAGGAGCCCTGGTTCACATGTTCAGAGATCGTCGACAAGTCAGGGTCAAAGTGTTGAACAAACGGGTTTGTCATTGTCATGTTCTGTGAAGGGCTTCCTGTGACCACGGCTGTGGAGTCCTGACACACGAGGCGGCCACAGAACCGCTGCTTTCTTCCTCCTTCCAAAACGTCCCCAGACCCGTCGTAGGAATGAAGGACTGCTGCTCTCCCCTCTGTAGACCTCGGGCTGGATGAAGGCGTGTCTCCTAGCTTGGAGTTGGACCACCGGTTTGGATCGTTCCACCTTCCAGTTCTCCAGCTCCTGCTGGAGCTCCAGCCTCCTGTTCTTCTCCTCCTGCAGGTTTTCAGACATGGCTTTGATTAGAGCCTGGAGCTGAACACCCAGCTCCTCCTCCACCTGCAGTTTGGCAGAGAGCTGCTGATTGGCTGATCTCAGGACATTCACCTCCTGCCACAGAGACTTCATCATGTCTCTGGACTGCTCCACGGCAGCACACGCCCTCTGCTGGACATCCTTGTGATTCCGTAGCTCCGTCTTCAGTTCTTGACTCCAGACTCGCTCCAGCTCCAGCTCAGCGCTCACAGAGATGTTAGCTTTTGACAGGAACTCGCACTTCTTGGTCTCACTCCGCAGTCCACTGGAGAGCTCCAGGTTGTCCTCCTGAAGGAGCGCCACCTCCAGACGCAGGCCTTGGAGGTGCCGCTGCCTGACGTCCACTGAAAAAGAATCCATTTTGGAGACCAGAGACTTGTTTTCTTTGGACAGAGTCTGGTTCTCCTGTAACAAGGACCTGTTCTCCTTCAACAGAGACTTGTTTTCTCTGGACAGACACTGGTTCTTCTTTGTCAAAGCCTGTTTGTCTGTGGACAGACGTTTGTTCTCCTTGGACAGAGACTCGTTCTCTTTCATCTGCGACTTTGTTACAAGCGACTCATTTTCTCTGGTCAGAGACTCGTTCTCCTTGATCCAGGACTCGTTCTGGTCTAACAGAACCTGGTTCTTCTCGGTCTCTGTCCGCAGCTCTCCGGTGAGCAGGACGGACTGTGTCATCAGTTTGTAGCTAACGTCCTCCTCAACGGCCAGCTTCTCGGTGAGTTCCAGTTTGGAGTCCTCGAGTCTTCCCACCTCCTGACGGTGGACGTCCTCCAGTGTCCTCTTCTCTTGTCTCTCAGTCTCTAGCTGGACGTGAAGGTCTCTTATCATCTCAGTCTGAAAGGCTAGCGTTTCTTCTGCGGTTGCCGGCCACATGTCGGCTTTCTTTCTCACGCGCTGTATTTATAGGCTGAATGCTAGGTGGCTCAGTGGGCAGCGGCCCAGGTAGTAGGTAGCTGAGGTAGCTGAGATGACACTGTGAAGCTGCAACACGTCACTGGGTTAGGGTAGGTTGTGTGTAGACAGTGAACTCGGTCGTTGGGTAACTGCGTTAGTTAGGGTGGTTAATTTGGGTAAGTAGTTATACTAGTAGGTAGTTGGTTAGCTAAGTCAGCGGCTGAAACGTCCAGGATTATTTTAGTATTTCTTTATGCAGATGACACTGTGAAGCTGCAACACGTCGGAGGTCAACTGCCATGGAACGGAAAAACCAAGTTCAACGGCAACAATGTCATGGCTTTAATCAGCTGGTCACAGAATGATGATGTCACAGAATGATGATGTCACAGAATGATGATGTCACAGAACGACTCCTAAATTCTATTATTTACAAACAAACCAACAATCACTGAACAAATAGTTTGTGTCTGACCTCATCAGCTGGTTATACTTGGCCAGTCTCTCAGACCTGCAGGGGGCGCCAGTCTTAATCTGCATAAAAAGAGAAGAAAATCAGAGAAATGATTTGAAATATTAAAACTTTCTTTTTTTTCGGTTTGATTGAATTTTATTCCAGAAAAGACGACGTTCAGTCGTTTGTTCGGCCACCTCACGGACGTCAACGGTTGCTTGGAGGTTGTCGACGTGTCAATACTCATCACAAGAACCAACAAAGACTTTGTTCAGTGTTTGAGTGGAAGCAGCTGTGATGACAACACTGACACGGTCTGTAGACCAGGTGGGTCACAGCTGACCATGGACTGGGCCACGGCTGATTGGTGTGTCCGTACCTGTCCGGTGCAGAGTCCGACCACCAGGTCGGCGATGAAGGTGTCCTCTGTCTCTCCAGATCGATGACTGACCATCACCCCCCAGCCGTTAGCCTGAGCCAGTTTACATCTGAGACACAGAGAAGATCCGTTTGACAAAGTGTCAGAACCAGCTGACATTTGGACCGACTCACAGCAGCCACCAGACCAGATCTCATTTCTAACACGACTTCATCGCACTTCTTTTCAAAAAGTTGCCCCCTGGTGGTAACTTTTCTTACAACGTTGTTTTTCAGAGTGATACATTTCAGATGAATCCCACATACGCCTGTATGGCCTCAGTGACGGAGCCGATCTGGTTGACTTTGAGCAGCAGGCAGTTACAGGCTCGTTCCTCCGCAGCCTTCTCTATCCTCTTGGGGTTGGTCACCGTTAGGTCATCTCCAACAATCTGGATCCCCATACGGGCGGTAAGATTGGACCAGGCCTCCCAGTCGTCCTGGTCAAACGGGTCCTCAATGGAAACCACTAGGACATGTTAAAACTGGTTAGGATTTTTAAAGAACTCCAGTTTGTAGGACAACATGGTCTGTACAGCTTTAGCTGCTCACTCTACTAAACCAGACTCTGGTCTGAACTAAAATCTCTGATTTTCTCCATGGACTTTGGTCTGAACTAAAATCTCTGATTTTCTCCATGGACTTTGGTCTGAACTAAAATCTCTGATTTTCTCCATGGACTTTGGTCTGAACTAAAATCTCTGATTTTCTCCATGGACTTTGGTCTGAACTAAAATCTCTGATTTTCTCCATGGACTTTGGTCTGAACTAAAATCTCTGATTTTCTCCATGGACTTTGGTCTGAACTAAAATCTCTGATTTTCTCCATGGACTTTGGTCTGAACTAAAATCTCTGATTTTCTCCATGGACTTTGGTCTGAACTAAAATCTCTGATTTTCTCCATGGACTTTGGTCTGAACTAAAATCTCTGATTTTCTCCATGGACTTTGGTGTGGGAGGGTGCGGGGTTTTCTGGACTTCAGTTTCCTGTCGTTTCAGTCTGACAGTAAAAACTGATCTGTGATCAGATGTAATGGACCACATGCTCATCTTATCTGTTCAGAACCCATCGATCTCCTTCTCCTTCATCGTTCTCACCTGGGTAGTTGTTGACGAAGCCCAGGTAGATATCCGCCAGCTCCTCTGCGCTGATGTGTCTCTCTGGATCTGGAGGGGACTTAAAGTCCAGGTCGTACTTTCCGTTGCGGTAAAACTCGGAGGCGGCTACATCCATCCCCACCACCACCTTGTCTGTGAAGCCAGCCTTCTCTATGGCCGTCTGCAGGAGGTCCAGAGCTGCAGAAGAACCACGTCCAATCAGAGGCCAGTCCATGGAAGCAGGGTCACATTCAAATAAAAAAGTCCTCACCCTCACTGTTCTCCAGGATGTTGGGAGCAAATCCTCCCTCGTCTCCCACGTTGGTGGCGTCCTGACCGTATTTCTGCTGGATCACCCCCTTCAGAGTGTGGTACAGTTCTGATCCTATCCTCAACGCCTCCCTGACAGAAGACCACCACCATCACCATCGTCTTCATCAATGAACATAAACTGTAGGTAAAGGTCAAAGGTCGTCTCACTTGAAAGACTCGGCTCCAACAGGAAGAACCATGAACTCCTGCATGGCCAGCTTGTTCCCGGCGTGAGAACCTCCGTTGATCACGTTGAAGGCCTGGAGCAGGAGCACAACACCACGGACGTCAGTCCACAAGGTGGCAGTGATGTCACAAAGGTCGTACACAGTCAGAACGAACTGTGTGTGTGTGTGTGTGTGTGTGTATGTGTGTGTGTGTGTCCTACAGGAACAGGCAGCACCAGCTCGGTGTTTCCAGCCAGGTCGGCGATGTGTCTGTACAGGGGGACGTCCTTCTCTGCAGCCCCGGCCTTACAGACGGCCAGAGACACCCCCAGGATGGAGTTAGCTCCAAACTGAGCTGTGGGGGAGGAGAGAGAGGAAGGGTTAGGGGGACAAAGTCCGACCGCTGCCTCTCCTCACACACTTACATTTGTTGTCGGTGCCGTCCATCTGGATCATCAGGTTGTCCAGCTGCTCCTGCTCCACCACACTGACGCCCTGCACACACACACACACACACACACACACACACACACACAGACTCAGAGTCACCAGCTGTCAGGCGGGGGAGGGGCGGGGGGGTGATTTCTGCTGCAGACTCACTGAGGAGATGAGAGCCGGAGCCAGAGTGTGGTTGATGTGTCCCACGGCCTTCAGGACGCCTGAGGACCAGGGACAGAGGACAGTTAGACACCGGGACGCTAACCCAGCTAACGGGCTAATATTCATCCTGTCCTCGTCCGACCTTTGCCCTTGTAGCGACTCTTGTCTCCGTCCCTGAGCTCCAAGGCTTCGTAGATTCCCGTTGACGCTCCGCTGGGAACGGCCGCCCGGAACAGACCTGAGGACACACGAGAGACCGCCTCCAGTCTGTCTGTTCATTCGCTCATTCTCTTTGCTCTAAAGCTTATTTGTCAGCAGCAACACTGCCCCCTGTCTGCGGTTGCCAGTAGGTGGCAGTAACTTAACCCAAGGGCCGTGGAAACTGTAACAATGATTTTTTTTTTCCTTCTCTTCTGGTCTTCCTGTCTGACCTCTGACCTGGACAGAGGTCAGAGGTCAAGTGAAGGTCACTGACTGTCAGCAGGTTGTTTACCCTCATGTTTTTATTTTCTTCTTCTGTGGTCACCTTTGTCCGTGCGTAGGTCCACTTCCACCGTGGGGTTTCCCCGGGAGTCCAAGATCTCCCTGGCGACGATGCTGACAATCGACATCCTGAGAAGAGGGGAGGAGGGGGGGAGGCAGGGAGGGGGAGACATGGTGGGTGAGGAGACGCAGTGGAGTGGAACACACACACATATTTTCCTGCTTATTTGTTGATGTGCAGTGATGTCACTGAGAGGACAGTGATGTCACTGAGAGGACAGGGATGTCACTGAGAGGACAGTGATGTCACTGAGAGGACAGTGATGTCACTGAGAGGACAGGGATGTCACTGAGAGGACAGTGATGTCACGGAGAGGACAGTGATGTCACTGAGAGGACAGGGATGTCACTGAGAGGACAGTGATGTCACTGAGAGGACAGGGATGTCACTGAGAGGACAGGGATGTCACTGAGAGGACAGTGATGTCACTGAGAGGACAGGGATGTCACTGAGAGGACAGTGATGTCACTGAGAGGACAGGGATGTCACTGAGAGGACAGGGATGTCACTGAGAGGACAGGGATGTCACTGAGAGGACAGGGATGTCACTGAGAGGACAGGGATGTCACTGAGAGGACAGGGATGTCACTGAGAGGACAGGGATGTCACTGAGAGGACAGTGATGTCACGGAGAGGACAGTGATGTCACCGTAGACCAGGTTCTAATGCAGGTTCTACAACTGGTCCTGAAGTGGACCAGTACCAGGTTGGTCGGACCACATGAGAGAGAGAAGCTGGGGGGGGGGAGGGGGGGGGGGGGGGAGGCAGGGAGGGGGAGACATGGTGGGTGAGGAGACGCAGTGGAGTGGAACACACACACATATTTTCCTGCTTATCTGTTGATGTGCAGTGATGTCACTGAGAGGACAGTGATGTCACCGTAGACCAGGTTCTAATGCAGGTTCTACAACTGGTCCTGAAGTGGACCAGTACCAGGTTGGTCGGACCACATGAGAGAGAGAAGCTGGGGGGGGGGGGCGGGGTGGCGGGCCCCGCCCCCCCCGCTCTCCTCCCTGACCTGGACTCTCTCACTGATGTTCTTATGTCTCTCGCCCCACTGCTGTGTGTTACATAAGCCATACAGCAGCGAGTGAGCGAGCAGAGAGAGGGGGAGAGAGCAGGGAGACAGGGAGACGGAGGAGGGAGGGAGGGGGGGAGGAGGAGACCACACCTACAAACAGACTGCAGTGCTCAGCAGAAAAACAGGGCCGTGAGTGGGCGAGAGAGGTTGGAAGTGAGTGTGGTGAGAGAGAGGAGCTGCACATCATGGGAGGGTGAGCAGGAGGGTGAGGTCATAAGGATGGAGGGGGGAGAGAGGAGAAGGAGAGGAGAAGGAGAGGAGAGGAGAGGGGAGTTAGTATCACAGCTCCATGGCTAACAGATTAGCCTAACAGCTGCTAAAAGGTAGCCCCACAGCTAACACAACTACTCTCTAAAGGTCGCTAAAGGTCAGGTCGGTTAGTTAGTTAGTTAGTCGGTCAGTTAGTTAGTCAGTTAGTTAGTTAGTTAGTCAGTCAGTCAGTTAGTTAGTTAGTTAGTTAGTCAGTCAGTCAGTCAGTCAGTTAGTTAGTTAGTTAGTCAGTCAGTCAGTCAGTCAGTTAGTTAGTTAGTTAGTTAGTCAGTTAGTTAGTCAGTTAGTTGGTTAGTTAGTCAGTTAGTTAGTCAGTTAGTTGGTTAGTTAGTCAGTCAGTCAGTCAGTCAGTCAGTTAGTTAGTTAGTTAGTCAGTTAGTTAGTTAGTTAGTTAGTACCCAGTTAGTTAGTACCCAGTTAGTACTAAGGTTAAAGCTTCAGTCGGTTCTAGATAAGTGAAAATAAATCTAACAGCTAGCTGAGCCAGCTCCTCCTAGTGGAGACTCTTGGTCACTGACTCAGTGATGGGCTGCAGCTTCAACTCTCCAGTCAGACACTGACTCCCACAGACCAAAGTCCATAGAGAAAATGAATGATTTAAGCTGCTGGTCCACTGCTGCCTCCTGTGGTCAGTTTGTGTTACTGAGGTCCATCAGCACAGAGGATTTCAGTTCGATTCCCTCAGTGGTCTGTGGTGTTGGAGCTCAGTCACAACCTGGAACCAGAACCCACCAGTACTGACCCAGATCAGAACCAACCAGAACCCAACCTACTCTCTCTCTCTCTCTCTCTCTCTCACACACACACACACAGAGCAGCAAGATTTAAGGAGAAAATGGATAAACAGCAAAATGAAGCTCAGATATGAAATACACAGATACATGCACACTCACATGCACACTTACATGCACACTCACGTGCACACTCTTCTCAGAATCGTCCGATATCACAGAGAAAAAACAGCAACGGCTGAAGGACAGAGAGAGAGAGAGAGAAAGAGAGAGAGAAAGAGAGGGTGTTGTACCTGCTGCTGACGCTCAGTGTGTGAGAGAGAGAGTGTGTGATCAAGAAAATACTGAGAGAGAGAGAGGGAGAGAGAGAGGGAGAGAGAGAGGAGGGGGAGGGGAGATGAGTCAGTGTGAGATGGAGGGAAGAAGAACAGGAGTAGAGGGTTTATTAAAGAGGAGGAGAGAAGGAGTGATGATGAAGAGGGGGAGGAGGAGGACGAAGGGAGGAAGAAGAGAGACCACACCTCCACAGAGAGAGAGAGAATATAAATACATGCTCTCTCTCCCTCTCTCTCTCTCTCTGCAGTCCATCTCCAATTATACATATTTATAGAGACAAAGAAGAAAACTCCTGAATATACATTATTGAAGGAAGAGCTACCGCCACCTGCTGGCTTACGAATAAAACTGCAAGGTATTTTCTATTTAAAAATACAGTACACACACAATTATATACATATACTATATATATATACACATACAAGTATATGTATATAACTGTGTGTGTGTGTGTGTGTGTGTTATCGTTGAGTGTTTTAACAGAGTGACGTCAAAGTCAGATAAAAACATGTCTCAACCCAAAACAAAACAGTTCTGATGCTTCACACACTCGGGAAATCAGACCTGTGGCCAAACCTGAACGTCACATCGAACTGATTTCCGGTTTCCTGGGTGTGGAGGGGTATGAATGTAATAACAAGTACCTGAACGCATCACCGTAGCAGCAGTAGCGTCCTCAGAGGTGACAGCGGCGTTTCTTATCGATTTAACTGACTTTTAGTGTGTAAAACTGTGTTTAAAACAACTGAATAGTAACGAAATAGAGTATAATTTACTGGTGTTTTCTATATGAATAATACGGAAAGTGACAGGAAGGTGTTTAAGTTCGACTAACTTAAGCTAACTCTGCTAGCCTGACCAGAGCTCTGTTCAAAGTCGCTGCTGTGGTTTGTTTTCCAGAGATAAAGGTGAGTTTGATTTAATTCATCTCTTTTTTTAATTGTTTGGGATTATTGTTGCCATTATTTAAAACTTATATATCAACGTAAATGAGAAGGTGGAACTCCACTGTCATTAACGCCATTAACGTCAATCGTTTAAAATAAATAGAAAACTATGGATAAATGTTTCACTTTATTTCACTTCATGTTCTTTGGTTGTTGTGGCGTCTTTTCACTATTTCCTTTTGATAAAAAATGAAATGTGAAAGTATTTTTCAATCCGAGTCGTTGACACAGTATTGAACTGTTGAAACAGTAACGTGTGCGTTGTTCTGACGTCACTGCCCCGTCGTTTGAACGCGGAAGTTGTTATTTAAAAAGAGTAAAGTCTACAAAAAGTCATGATCAGCCGTTCAGTTATGAATCGACTAAATGATTGTGTTCGACTAATTGTTATTATTGCCTGGCTGCTTTAAGTTGTTATGTTGTTACTGTTAGCTTTGAGCTAACGTTAGCCCTGCTCTGGACACGGCTAACCGACACCGGTGTGTGTGTGTGTGTGTGTGTGTGACTGACACAGAACCATCTGACTGTTGTTTATTGACTAACCCCAAACAACAACCGACTTGTTTTTCCCTGATGTTTGAATGGAGTCACTTTTCTGGATGTGACTCCTGCTCCTCCTCCTCCTCCTCCTCCTCCTCCTCCTCCTGCTGTCAGTCAGGGGAGGACGTCCATCAGATGCTCAGCATTTTTCTATCATTTAATAAACTAGCTGTTGATCAACTGACATGATCAGTGTGTCTGCTCCGTCTGTGACTCAGATGCAGACCATCAAGTGTGTGGTGGTCGGTGACGGTGCAGTGGGGAAAACCTGTCTGTTGATCTCCTACACCACCAACAAGTTCCCCTCTGAGTATGTCCCCACGGTGAGGACACACACACACACACGGATAGAGTTTGCCTGTGTGTGTTCTCCTGACCTCTGACCCCCCTCCCCCTCCCCCCCACCCGTCCTTCTCAGGTGTTTGATAACTATGCAGTGACGGTGATGATCGGAGGAGAGCCCTACACTCTGGGACTCTTTGACACTGCAGGTACTGTTTCAGTGACGTTGACTGTTGAGATTTTGAAAACAGAGGAGAAACAAGTGTCCTGGATGTCTGTCTCCCCCTGCAGGTCAGGAGGACTATGACAGACTGCGTCCTCTCAGCTACCCTCAGACCGACGTCTTCCTGGTCTGTTTCTCTGTGGTGTCTCCTTCCTCTTTTGAGAACGTCAGAGAGAAGGTGTGTTCTCCCCCTCCTCCCCCTCAGTGGGTCCTCTGTGGAGCTGCTGTCAATTTTCATTTTCTTTTTTTCTCGTCCTTCCTCAGTGGGTGCCCGAGATCTCTCACCACTGTCCTCGGACGCCGTTCTTACTGGTGGGGACGCAGATGGACCTGAGGGACGACAGCAACACTCTGGAGAAACTGGCTAAGAACAAACAGAGAGCCCTGACGTGTGAGAGTGGAGAGAAACTGGCCCGAGAGCTGAGGGCCGTCAAGTACGTGGAGTGTTCCGCCCTCACACAGGTACAGACCGCACCACGGCCACGGGTTCTCTGCTGTCTGGGTTCTACACCAGTCTCACCGTTCCTTCTTCTTCTTCTCTGTCTGTTCCTCAGCGAGGGCTGAAGAACGTCTTTGACGAGGCCATCCTGGCAGCACTGGAGCCTCCTGACACCAAACCAAAGAAACGCTGTGTCCTCTTATAGTCACTACACAGAAAAGGGGAGCAGCAGGAGGAAGAGGAGGAGGAGGAGGAGGAGGAGGAGGGGTTGGGGTTTTGGAGAGGTTAAAAAACGCACAGTGCCTTCAGAAACCAGAGCATGAGAAGCTCATGCTTAAATCTCTTATTGACAAGTGCCAGAGTCACAGGTTTGAAATAAATCACTGATTTTCTCTATGAGGTTTGGTGTTTACAAACTTCAGTTTCTCGTTCGAAAAATCTAGCTTTGCGCTAAAGCCGTTCACTTTTGTCTAAATTGTTATTTTTATTGAGTAAAGTTGGTGAAAAGTCAAATCCAAACTAACAATTGTGCTAAAAAATGACAAAAGAAAAAGAAAAAAAAGAATCAGAAGAATTCTCCACAACATTTTGATCTTTAAAAGCTCCGTCGTCCTCACTGCTGCAGGTGTTTGCCTGCGCACGTGTCACGAGCGTGAGCATGGAGTTTAGAAAAGTTCTAGAACAAATGTGTAAGAATGAACATGATTTGTGCTGAATTCAAATTAAAAAAATTCACATTTGTTTTTCTTATTTTTTACCGTTTTGGAGAATTTTTTTCAGAAACTATTTATAGAATCTGTTTGTCCGTGTCTTTGTTTCCTGGCTTTCTAAAATTCCCGGGGTGAAATTATTTACAGTTTTTTGAAAAATATTTTCAAGAAATGTAACCATGGTTTTTGTTGTATATTTAATGAAACAATAATGAGCTTCTAGTAGGAACACGATTCTTAAAATCCAGGTGTGAAGTTCGAGGTTTGAAGTCGTGGGGAAATAAAAAAAAAAAATCACAACTTAATTTCACTTTGTCTCATTTTTATTGGACATGAAGCAGTGACGTAACAGAAATGACCCTAGTATTTAGCAGTACTTCGTATTCTGATAATACTCCGTGTTGTTTGTTTAAAGTTGATCCCTGGTGTTCTTTTATGGAACAACAGCAGAGGGTGTCAGTTCTCCAAGTCTGACCAACTGTCTTTCCCTGACCCAGAGTTGTGCACGCAACCGTTGTCCTCTTCTGATTGGACGGCCTCGTCCTTCTTCGTCCCAGTCATACCAGTAAGTCCAATAATATTTCCATCCTCGAAGCTTCACTTTTATGACGCAATAAATTCACCACTGGTTAATCATTATAAGATTTTCACAATATACAGATTTTAAAGAAGTGAAGAAGTTTAATGACGATGACAGTGATTTCTTATTTAAATCCTTTTTCAACAGTAAAAATTTGTTTTCCGTTTGGTTGTCGCAGTTTGCCATGAGGAACAGCAGGGGGGGCTACTTTCCTCTTTTTCTTCGTTTTGTTGCAGCACAGAAGTATATAGAAAACCACGTGACCGATTTCTGATTGACAGGTTAAAAGGCTGAAGTCCCAGGAGGAACAATCGTCTTTGTCTGGAGGAAGAAAGATCCTCTCTACCGCCCACCACCCCCACGCACTCAGACCAAAGTCCATGGAGAAAAACAGAGATTTTAGTTCAGACCACAGTCCATGGAGAAAAACAGAGATTTTAGTTCAGACCACAGTCCATGGAGAAAAACAGAGATTTTAGTTCAGACCAACGTCCAGTGAGAAAATCAGAGATTTTAGTTCAGACCACAGTCCATGGAGAAAAACAGAGATTTTAGTTCAGACCACAGTCCATGGAGAAAAACAGAGATTTTAGTTCAGACCACAGTCCATGGAGAAAAACAGAGATTTTAGTTCAGACCAACGTCCAGTGAGAAAATCAGAGATTTTAGTTCAGACCAAAGTCAGATTTTCTCTACGGTTAATGAGTAAAAAAACACATTTTTCTGTTTGAAAATCAGTCATGGTGCATCCATGTGTGTAAGTACAAATATATGTGTCTGTTTTGTGTGGGTTTCTGGGTGTGTGTGTGTGTGTGAAATCAGTGATTTTAGTTCAGACCAAAGTCAGATTTTCTCTACGGTCAATGAGTAAAAAAACACATTTTTCTGTTTGAAAATTAGTAGTGGTGCATCCATGTGTGTAAGTACAAATATATGTGTCTGTTTTGTGTGTGTTTCTGGGTGTGTGTGTGTGTGAAATCAGTGATTTTAGTTCAGACCACAGTCCATGGAGAAAAACAGAGATTTTAGTTCAGACCAAAGTCAGATTTTCTCTACGGTTAATGAGTAAAAAAACACGTTTTTCTGTTTGAAAATCAGTCATGGTGCATCCATGTGTGTAAGTACAAATATATGTGTCTGTTTTGTGTGGGTTTCTGGGTGTGTGTGTGTGTGAAATCAGTGATTTTAGTTCAGACCACAGTCCATGGAGAAAAACAGAGATTTTAGTTCAGACCAACGTCCAGTGAGAAAATCAGAGATTTTAGTTTAGACCAAAGTCAGCTTTTCTCTACGGTCATTTCTCTACGGTCAATGAGTAAAAAAACACATTTTTCTGTTTGAAAATCAGTCATGGTGCATCCATGTGTGTAAGTACAAGTATATGTGTCTGTTTTGTGTGTGTTTCTGGGTGTGTGTGTGTGTGTGTTTATATATAATCCCTAACACATGTTAGTCTGTAATTGTGTGTGTGGGAGGTGTTTAAATGTGGGTTTATGGAATGTTTGTGTCAAATTCAGTGTATCCTGTTTGTGTGTGTGTGTGTGTGTGTGTGTGTGCGTGTGCGCCGCCTTCATCTCTGACATAACTGGTTACCATGCATACTGAGTGTCTGACTATTATGGGCTGTTCTTTGTTTTGTCACGACGTGCCCTGCTGTATGGAATAGGGGGAGGGGCGATGTATGTGTGTGTGTGTGTGTGTGTGTGTGCATGTGAAGGAGGTTGTGTGTGTATTAGCATGTGTGGGGGGGGCTGTCCATGTTGTGGACGTGCGAGCACATAATGTGCAAGTGAGTGAGTGCATGTGTTCTGGAGAAGGTGAGATAAGATGGCGGCCGTGTGTGTGTGTGTGTGTGTGTGTGTGTGTGTGAGAGAGAGAGAGAGAGAGAGAGAGAGAACAGTAATTGTAGCCATTAAACCCTGTTCTCCTAACTGGACCTGACCCACTGGTCCAGGTCACCACAGGATGGAAACAAAGCACTGACACGCGGCCCTTCAGTGGACCACATCTGGTTCCTGGTTCATTGTAGGATCAAAGGTCAACTGTCACATGTTTGACGTTTGGAGACTCCAGGTCCATCACCCTGGACATCAGCCAGGACCAGAGGTCACCACAGACTGGTCCAACATCCTCTAACCAGCGACACTGCTCCGAGGCTGGACCTGCAGCCTGATGATGTCAGTGCTGACTCAGCAGGAGGAGAACCAGGGTGAGAAGGTCCGATCCCTGATGTAGACGTTCTTCTCCTTTTATTCTTGTTTCTGTGGAACTGTTCTGGACTGTTCTGGACTGTTCTGGACTCTCCTGGACCGTCCTGGACCGTCCTGGACCGTCCTGGACCGTGCTGGACCGTCCTGGAATCTCCTGGACTCTCCTGGACTCTCCTGGACTCTCCTGGACCGTCCTGGACTCTCCTGGACCCTCCTGGACCGTCCTGGACCGTCCTGGACCGTCCTGGACCGTCCTGGACCGTCCTGGTTCCTGCTGCTCTTTCTCTCAGTCTAAATACACACCATAATACTGAGCCACACATGGTAATTTGACCCCCCTTACCCCCCCACCATGTACTAGCCCGCTGCATTGCTTAATCACCATGACGACCAGCAGCACAGGAGCACTATTATGGTCTGTGCCCCCCCTCCCCCCGCTTTCCTTCAGAAATGAAATTATTATCACCATGTGATGATGCAGGGATGAAGGTTTTTTAAGTGGGAGGGGTCAGGAGAGCTGTGCACGTGGTTTCCATGACAACTAGGCCTAAGTATCATTCTGATTGGTGATTATGGGATACCCCCACCTCCTCTGCACCCCCACTCCTAAACCCTGCAGACATAAGACAGTGTGTATAGTAATAGTAAAGTAGTGTGTGTGTGTGTGTGTGTGTGTGTGTGTGCAGGTGGGGGGTGAAAAGAACAAGAGTGTTGAGGAGCGGTGACATCATCAATCATCAATAATCTTTTTTATTGTTGGGGAAAAGAACAACAACAAAAAGTCCAACCAGTCATGTCCTACCACCGCACTGCTCACTGCCCCTGCCTTACAGTACGAAGGTCAGTGGTTCAATCCCCAGCTTCACCTGCTGTTCTTTCCCTGCGGAGTTCT